GGCAGGGCGGTCCTGCCTGTGCCGTCCTCGGTCAGCGGCGGGGCAGGGCAGTTCCCGTAGAAGCCCAGGAGCTCTGAGCCAAGTTGTTCTTTAAGTCCCGATAGAGAGACCACAGGACCTGGAGACTGTGCTGACTCTAGGGACTGGACAGCCCAGAGGGCTGGTGCCCAGCCTCTCCTGGGAAATGGTTGCTTTCACCTAGCTAGCCCCTCTGCCCCCGCCCGGCTGCGGGCCAGCCTCTCAGGCCCCTCTCTGAGCTCACCCCTCCAGGCAGTGCCTCCGTGCTGTAGCAACACATGACTTCATCTGAGGGGAATTCCTCCAGCTGCTAACACAGCTGCCCGGTCATGTTTCCATGACCCAGTTTTCCTGCCTCTTTGTCTGAGCCCTCTGCTGACCCGCCCGTCCTCCTGCAGAAATGCACTGGAGTCGTCATTAATGGGGTATTAACTGGAGCCCGGCTTCCAGGGAGGCCCCTTGCCCCTCCCAGTGGCCTTTTCACTCACACGGCAAGGTCCTGAAGCCGGGGACACGGCACACTGCCTCACCCCGGGACCACCAGCCAAGGAGCACTGGGCATTAAACCTCAGCGCAGAAAAATTCTGGGGTTAAAAAAAAAAGCCATCATGCCACCATCCTCCGCTTCTCAGACTGGTCTTTCTGTGTAGGATCAAAAACAAATGTGCGTTGTTTTCAGAGGGGGTCAGGCGAGCCGTAGAAAATTCCCGTCTCAGAGTTTCCTCCCCAGAAACTTGAAAAGAGAGCCCGGCTTTGAAATGGCATATGGCGCGTGTGTGTTCCCCTCTGCCGGAAGGACATGATTGCGTTTGGATTTCTGTTTAACGGGAAGAAAGAGGCCACAATGAAAACAGTGTGTGGGTCTCCCTGGACACGTTGCTGCAGGCAACTCTGTTCCTATTTCTCACGCCGGGTCCCCCGGGTGCTGCCGGTGGAGGCCCCTCCTGCCTGGGCCTGGCCGGGGACCCCAGCTGAGCCCCTACCTCCGAGAGCTCCCTCAGGGTGTGTGCGGACAGTCCTTGCTGGTCGGAAGGGTCCTAAAACCCCAGATGCCCCAGGGTTAGCTTTCATCCTCAGTTTATCTGGGTGCAGAGTTGGTCCCAGAGACAGTTTGAGGGGCTGTCCTTCGAGAGCGCTCAGGCGACTGGCCTGCAGCCGCCGGGCGCAGGGGGTGGATGTGGAGGCCTCGGGTCGGGGGTTGTACAGATAGGGCCCAGATAAAACGGTGCCTGCGCCCAGAGCCCCCGCCGCCTGCTCAGGGCCCCTCCCCAAGCCTCGGGGGTCACCAGCTGAGATACGCGTGACCATTCACAAAGAGCAGGAAGGTTCTGGTAGGAAGGAAATCGGAGCTCACCTAATCCTCACTGTACAGATGGGTCATGCGAGACCCAGAAAAGGTGACATAATTTCCCCGAAGCCCCATGGTCACTAGTGGCAGGGCCAATCTGGGATTCCTGGCCGATGCACCCTGCCCCACACCCTGGCCCTCCTCATGTGGCCTTTCTATTCCCTGCTCAGAATCCCCCACCTTTGTTTCCCAGAAGAACCCCAAAGTCCTTCCCACAGCCTGTCCAGGCTTGTAGGACCTTCTGCCCTGTCTCTCTAGCTCTATCCCTGCTCCTGCCACGTCAGCCTTGCGCTGAAATCGCCGAGTTCTTCCTTTGCACCTGCCGTCCCCTGCCTGGTGCACCTGTCCTGCAGGGGCCCTTCCACACCCCACCCCACATCCAAGTCTGCTCTTTGTTCCCTCACCCAGCCCAGCGTCCCCTCATCTCCGCCATCCTGACAGTATGTTACAAATATATTCGCCGGCTAGTTCACTGCTGTCCCCTCGGGGAAGCTCTGCCGCTCTGTGAAGGGGGCAGTGTGGGCAGCTGCCCCCCAGTTCCTGGGATCCAGAACACGCCTGCTGAGCAGCCCGCCCTTGATGCGAGGCAGGTGAGGGAATGCGTGAGGGAATCCGTGAGGGAATCGACAGCGAAGCACGAATGAGTGAGGGATCGTTCCTACCGGGACCGCTGCCCAGGCTTAGCCTCCCCAGTGTGAGCGGCCGGGGCCCCCTCTCTGGAGGTGGGCAGAGGGTCTGGACCTTACCTGCTGGCTGATCACAGGCACGCCTGTCCGTCCGCACCGGGGGCGCGTGTTGGGTGAGGCTTCCGAGGCCCTGTTGCCGAGGGCCTGCTGGGTGACCATGGGCTTCGTGGGGAGGGGTGATGAAGCCACACACTGGCCACGGCACGCCTACAGGTAGACACACCACTCGGAGCCTCGGCGAGTCTCCTGCAAGGCGAGGAAGAACGGGGTCGATGGTAGCACGGAACGAGGTGCGTGAGCAGAGGCCCACGAGGCAGCGGGTCACGGGGACGAGCTCGGGCACCACTTCCCCTCCCCGACCCGGTGGGGAGGGCCCGCATGTGAGCGCTGGCCAACCTCACGTCAGTGCCTGATGCAGGGGACCTTGAACGTGTTCCCAGCCCCCCTGAGGGGTGCAGAGGCTGCCGGGGGTCCGGTCCTGTGGCTCTGACATGAAAAAGAGAGAGCTGCTTCCCCTGGTAACTTCCACAGCTACACCCCAGGGACCAGGCAGAAAGAGGGGATCAGCCCCAGCTGCAGTGGGACTCTGGATGGCTCTCCCTCATGCTTCTTCCCAGAATCCCAGGCTCCTCCTGCAAGGCTTGCGTGTACACGCACGCACAGGCACGCACACACAGGCGCGCGCACACAGGCACACACAGGCACGCACACACAGGCGCGCGCACACAGGCACACACAGGCGCGCGCACACAGGCGCGCGCACACAGGCGCGTGCACACCCTCGGTGGCTGCAGTTCACGGCTTCCTGGTAACTGGCAGGAGAGCTTTATTCCTGGAGATGATAACAGTCTTCAGACCTGGAAGAGCTGCATTCGTCCTGCACAGACAGCTGTCTGCAGCTGTAGGCAGGGACCCCCTCCACCCTGCAGGTGAAACACTGGGGAGAAAAGGAGCACACAGGGTGCTGGGGATGGTGAGGGGGAAGGCGAGGCATCCCGGGTGAATGCAGCCGGGGGTGCTGTGAAGACTTCTGCAAAGTGCTCTGTGTGTTTGTTAAATACAACACATGAGCAAGGTGGGGACAGGCCGACCCCAGCATTCCCCTGGCAGCTGGCAGAGGGAAAGCCATACCAGCTGTCCAGGGCCGCGGGTTCTCCTCCGGGCTCTGAAATCACACTTGGCCTCCATTTTCTCATCTGTGAAATGGGTGCACTAACACCCACCCTGGCTACCCCAGGAGGCTTTTGGATATGCAGGGAAACATTCAGACATACACAAAAGCAAGGCATGTTTATTTGTTGACGACACTGTGGTCTGGTCTGCCTGGCCACATTAAAGACACCTGCAGGCCCTTCCCTGCAGCTCTGGGCTGTGAGCGCTGTGTCCAGCTTGGCCGCCTGGGGTCCCGGGAGCCCAGTGTCTCCTGTGCAGAAGCCAGCGCTGGCCTCTGTGTTTGGAGGCAAATTCCCCTTCGAGCCCAAGATTCCTGGAGTCTGGGTTTGGCAGATTGATTCGGTCATGGTGAGACTGGCCCTCCCTGTTTCCAGTCCCATGGAAGATGCTGGTATTGTGGGATTTTGAAGAGAAAATTGAATATGTAAAAATTAAATTAAAAAGGTTTGGAGAAAAGTTTCCTGTTGTGAAGAGTTCAGAGCATTCAAACCAAGTGTCCATCAAGGGGTGAATGATGACCAAAATGTGGTATATCCGCTGGGCACGTGGTATAGTGGGGGACCTGGGGGATAGGATGCTTCGTGAAACAAGCCGGTCACAAGAGGACAAAACTGACTCCACTCGTAGGAGGGACCGAGAGACAGAACATAGGACGGTGGTCGCCAGGGCAGGGAGGGGGAGGGGCGGGGGCGGGAAGATGAGTTGTTTAATCGGCACATGGTGCAGTTTGGGGAGGCGAGAAAGTCCTCTGACGGATGGTGGTGATGGTTGCACAACGACTGAATGTGCTTGACCGTCCTGTGCACTTCAACGGGACTCGGAGGGTGACTTGTCTGTCACGTGTGTTTCACCACAGTAAGACAGACCCGGTGGTGTTGACAGCGCGGTCCCAGAACCTGTCTGCACAGAAAGCGTCAGCAACACTGTTGCTACTCCTGTGACACGGAGGCCTGGCCGGCTGCCGGCCCGTGTGCGTGTGAAACGCGCCGTCCGCCTCCCTCTCCCCAGGCAGCGCTTAGACAGGCCATTCCCACTGGCCCCCGGCCTTGCCAGGGTGCGCGGCGGCTGAGAAATCGCTGCTCCTTCCCCTTTCCTAGCCTAACTGCTTTTTAAAGAGTCTTGTTTTCCTAGCACCTATAATTACGTTTGCCTCCAGGGTACCCAGGAATTTTTTTTTAATAAGCGAAGAGCATCCTACAATTATCGTGATGATTTGTTGAGGGCAGGCCAAGTGCAGGCGGCTGACTCACCTCTGGAAACTGCTCACGCGCTGGCACTGGCATCCGGAGGAGCTGCCAGCTCCCGGGGCGTCATTAATGCCGGGAGCCGGAGGATTAACATGCCCACAGGTGCGCCGGCTGCCGCCGCGGCCCGGCCCCACGGAGGGTTCTCGGTCAGTATCACTGGCCCGTGGGGGTGCCGTCGCCCAGGGCCGCTGGGGCCACACGGCCGAGGCCGGGATGGGCAAGAGCCTGTTGGCTCTGTCAGCCCTGATTTAAGGCCGAGCCTGTAATCTCCCCCAGTTCAAAGAGCGCTTAGCTGCTTGTCTTTGTCAGGAGCGCAGTTGGGGATCTTTTATGTGAAAGATGTAGGATTCTCGGGCTGACTTTGATTATTTATTCATCCCCGTGCGTGGTGTGTGATAGCTGAGGCACCTCGGAGCCCGTCCTGGCTGTGCTCCTGCTCTGAGATGCATTGAGCTATAAAGTCCTTTGAACATTGCGTTTTGAGGGAGGGAAAGGTTTTGAAGTCCTGTCTCTCTCTCCCCTGTACAGTGCCGCAGCACCTCTTGCCGCCGTTCCACGCCCCCTTACCGATTGACATGAGACACCAGGAGGGAAGGTACCATTACGAGCCTCACTCTGTCCACGGCGTGCACGGGTAAGTTCTGCCCTCCACCTGCCACCGGGGAGCTGGGCTGCCAGCACCGGCACCTCTCCTGCCTCTCTCTCTTTGGAGTTCCTGACCCGCATCGTCCGAGCGGTCAGCTCCGCCACCCACGGTGCACTGGCTGGACCCGGAGCGAACGTGTGGGTGGGGTGTGCGCACCAGCTCCCTCCAGTTCCCTGAGAAGGAAGCCTGCTGTCTCGAACCCCCCACTGCCAAGGCCGCAGACCCTCCTGGCGTATCCATGAGCACCCTGGGGCCCTTCACCCACCCATGCAGGGGGCTCTCCTCCAGGCCAAGGTCTCCGTAAGCGTGCCCTTCATTACATGTTGTCGCAGCATAATGATCCGTAGCACCCCTCTCACTCCCAAGTCCCGCTGGGACACCGAATGATGGGGTCACCCTCCTAAAAGGACAAGCTCGGTTGTGTGTTGGGGCTCCTCCTGCTCTCTGCTTTGAGGCCCGGCAGTGAGGCCCGGTGCTCACACGGTGCCTCTGGAAGCCTGCAGCTGACGTCACTGTTCGTGGACGTCACTGCTGGAAGGCCGGCCCCACGCACCCCCTTCTGTCTGCTTTCAGAAGAGAGGCCAAAGTCTTTCCCTCACCCCCAACATCCCGCTGCTCCTGCACTGCCTCGGGGGACCAGGTGCCGGTGCCCCCCCAGACCCAGCCACCACCGCTGTCCAAGTTGCTGTCTGTGGTTGCAGCATGCACAGCCTGTCGCGTGGACCTGTGCCCCCGCTGCCGGCCTGCCTGGAGCGGCCGCCCCTGGCCTTCTGCAGACCCTCCCAGCCTCGCTGAGGCCGCCGCCCCTGCGGGCCTGGATCCGCACACTGCCGCCCGGAACGCGTTTCACACCTGCCCGCCGCGGGCTCCCGCGGCCCTTGCCCTCGTGTCCGCACCACAGCGGCTGACCTGACAGGTGCACGGTCGCTGCGAGTGCTCGGGCCTCTGCACATGCCCGTCCCCGCGCCAGCTCCCACCGAGGCACGTCAGTGGGCACCCCCCGGGCGCTCACTGCGTTCTAAGCAAGCCATGTGCCTGGTCGGCGGGCCGGTGATGAGACGGTGTCCCAGCCCTCAGGGGACTCCTATTTCTGGGCACACCTGGCCCCCCAAGACAGATCGAATCTGCGATTTTTATTTTCTTTTTAAAAATATCTTTTACTTTGAAATAATTTCAGACATATAAAAACAGCTGCAAAAATAGTGCAGAGATTTCCATTATAGCCTTCATCCAATTCCTTAAATGTTAACAGTGCTATCAACTAACTTCTAAGTCACCCACATTTGGCCAGCTGCCTGCTAATGTCTTTTTTCCTCTGGCTCTTATTTGGTTGTCTTATCTCCATAGACATCTTTAATCGGGGACGTGGCTCTGCCTCTCTTTCATGACCTTGACATTTCGGAAGAGGACAGGCCAGTTACTGTATAAAATGTCCTGTTTTGGGTTTGTCTGATGTTGCCTCATGACCACAGTCAGAATGCGCGTTTGGGGGACGATGAGACAGGTGGCACTGTGCCCTTCCGTCGGGGCACGCCACGGCAGCGCGTCTCATCACTAGAGATTAATTTTGATCATGTGGTTCAGGTGAGTTTCTCCAGTTTAAAGTTGGCCTCTTTGTAATGATTGATTGTGGGGTGATACTTTGGTAACAGGTGAATATCCTGTTTCCCATCGTACCGTCGCCCACAAACTTGGACATCCGTAGCGGCTCTTGTCAGAAGCGGGAGTTACTTGTCTTTGCCAAGTGCCGCTTCTCTGTTAACATCGTCCCTTCCGTGTTTATCTGCTAGAATTTTCTGTGAGGAACCGCCGCCCCTTCTCCCCATTTCTTTATTTCAAATAGATGCATCGATAGTTGTGACGTTCTGTGAGTTATAGTCTCTGGTTATCACGTTTATTGTGCTGTCCCAGTTGTCCCAGCTTGGGCACGCCGGGGACTTCTCATTTCACCTCCGTGCACGTCGCTGGTTCCCCGGCCTGCCCGCCTCCAGGCCCTCCGCTGCTTCTGGGGGGCGCCCGTTCGGAGCCAGTGGATCAGCCGAAGTTTGCGCAGATGGTGTTACCTGAGTCCTGAGTGTATCCAGGGATCTGAGTGTCTCTCCAGAAGGGGGTTGGAGTGGCTGACTTTCTGGTCTTGAGAAACACTTGGCGGGTTTAGCAACACAGACCCCGGGCACAGCGGCCCGCAAGGAAGTGCCCCCTGTGAGGGGCCCAGTGCCAGTCGTCACCGTGGTCAGGGCAGGGCTCCCGGGGTGGGGGCCGTACAGGCTTCATCACTGCAGGGGGACACTCAGGGTCACAGCTCCCCACATATCTGGGGGGTGGCGGAGACATAAGACCCCCCCCCCCACTGGCGAATGCTGTTTCTCCAGTGAACTCTGACCTGTGCCTGTTGTAAGCACGTCATGTTTAACCCCACACAGTCCTCTCAACAACCCCGGGAGGTGCACACTTCATGTCGTCTCGTTTTACAGATGACGGAACTGAGGCACTCAGGGAGGTTGACTAGGAGCATGAGGCTCACCACCTAGGATTTGGGGGAGTTCGCAGTCGAATTACAGCCCGAGGCCAGACCCTCATTGCTCACCGGTCTCCCTTGGGACCATGTGTATGACCCCAGGATCCCTGGACAGGTTCCCCTGGACCCTTCCTGGAAGCACATGCCACCCCTTGTTAGGGTGCTGCCCCAGGGCAGGGGCTCCCCCGCCTGTGAAGCCTGTGGGTCCTCAGGCCCCGGCCCAGACCTGCCGAGTCGAGACGCTTCCCCGGGCCTGGCCGCACGCGCAGGGCCTGTCGTGGGAGGAGCACCGGTGCTGTCCCTCCCTGCCCGGTGGGGAGCTGCGGCCAGAGGTCGCCCCCGAGGCTTCCCCATGCCTGGCCGCACGCGCAGGGCCTGTCGCGGGAGGAGCGCCCGGTGCTCTCCCTCCCTGCCCGGCGGGGAGCTGCGGCCAGAGGTCGCCCCCGAGGCTTCCCCGGGCCCTGCCACTCACCAGCTCTGGGATGGACACAGGCCTTGTGCCCCCGTGGGCCTGCTTCCTTCCTAGCCAGGGAGGGCAGAGTGGGCACAGCACCTGAGAAGCAGAGGTGACAGGGGCAGGGGGCAGGGTGGAGTCTGACCAGGCCAGCGGCCGAGGGGATGGTCCCACCAGCCTGCGGGGCTCTCTCCCGAGACTTGGTCGCTGGAGGTGTAGCAGGGCCCTGTAGCTGCTGTGACAAGTTACCTCAGACTCTGGTTCACAAACTTGCTCTCGGCATCTGGAGGCCTCGGAGCAGGTGTTGGCGGAACTGTCCTGGAGGCCCCGAGGGACTCCGTTTCTCTGCTCACGACCCCTCTCTCTTACCCCGTGGCCTGTCCTCCCTGCCTGTGTCCTCACAGGGCTTCCTCCTCCTTCGCGTAGTCCCCCCGCCCCTCTTAAAGGACCACTGGACGATACAGGAAAGTCCCGAATCCAGCCTCGGCAGTGTCCCTTCTTCCATAGAGGGTCCCCCTCCCAGGCCCCAGGGCCTAGGACGGGGACCTCTCTGGAGTCGTTGTTCAGCTCATTTGGGATCGCCGGCCCCAGTGCGAGTCTGGCCGCGTGTCGTAGAGGACAGTAGGGGTCAGCAGTCTGTGCGGCCCGCAGGGGCTGCTCTGTGGCTTCACCTCCCGATGGCGCTGAGGTGGGTTACAGCCTGCAGCCTACAGGTGCAGACAGGGCTCAGAGAGGCGGATGCTGACTTCCCTCAGAGAGGTGGCCTGCCTGCTTCTGCTCAGGATTGGGGAGCGAAGGCTCCCCTCCCCAGCCAAGGAGGGCCAGCCCGTTGGACCCCAGCCATGAGCCGCAGTGGTGTTCCCGGACGCTCTACCTTGTCCCCGGGACATTGGCCCCCAGCCCATGTGGCGGGGGGCGAGGGAGTGCTGCAGAGCCCACCCCGGACCCCGGCCCTCGGAGCCCAGGTAAGAAACAGGACGAAGCCCCGCAGGGAAGCTGCCCCTGTGGTCTGGCTTCTGTGATTAATGTGGTCGGAGCCTGGTGGAGCGCCCTATCCGTCAAGGCCCCGGGTAGCCCGCTCCCCCTCGCCGGCACCAAATGTGTGTAATTACACAGACGTTGCCCAGCAAATGAGGTGCAGTGTCGTCTCCTGTCTGCCTGCGTCGAAGCCTCTGCCTGCGGCTCCGTGCACAGGGCCTGTGCACGGCCCCGGACCCGGGTCCTCCGCCCTCGTGGTCCTTAGCTCCGGGCTGGGCGCCAGGCAGTGCCCTGGCCCTGCCAGGCTACCTGGGCTAGGACCCCAGTGCTGACCCGGCCGAAGGAACGAACCTTTGTTTTCTCACCTGTAAAAGGGCCTAGTCCATGATGAAGGCACCATGCCGTCTACGGAGTTCCTTTGAGCGCCACGTGGGGTCATTTAAGTGACTGCTCGGGAGAGTGTGGGAACATTCAGTAGATGCCAACAGTGGGCATTGTCACTGTGGCCCTTACTCCGTTCGCCGTCAGAGAAGAAAGTTCCCTGCGGCTGGGCATGTCCCTGGGAGGGGCTGAGACCCAGACCGGTGGGGGCTGGGCTGAAGAAGGACCACCCGGGACAGGAGGGGAGGGCGTTTCTGTTCCCCAGGAGAGGAACTTGGACTTGACCCTTTCGGCAACGAGGAGCAGAAGGGCAGTGAGGTTTATTTTCGGGGTGACTGGAGGAGCGGTCAGAGGATGGACGTAGTGGGGACCACAGCTGCCATGGTGGAGTCCTGGCGCAGGGGAGCGGGCCGGGCTGACCAGGCAGCACTCCAAACTGCAGCTTCACGTGGGAGGAGCAGGGGTGGGGAGAGGCGTGTGGACCCCGCGGGTGGAGCCACCGTCCCCTCACCTGGAGGCGCCGGCCCTCAGCAGGACTTGCAGAGATTGCTCACGCTCAGAGGGTTCCCGAAGGGCAGACACGCTGCCCATGGGCTCCTGGGCAGCACCTTTTATCTGTGTGACGGGCGACAGAGGGGTGGGGTGTCCCTGCGGGTC